AGGAGAAGAAAGAAGAGGAGTGAGAGGAGTAAGAGGAGCAGTAAGAAGAGGAGTAAGAGGAGAAGAAAGAAGAGGAGTGAGAGGAGTAAGAGGAGTAAGAGGAGGAGGAGGAAGGGGAGGAGAAGGAAGAGGTGTAAGAGGAGGAAGAAGAAGAGGAGGGTTAAGAGGAGTAAGAAGAGGAGGAGCAAAAGAGGAGGAGTAAGAAGAGGAGTGAAAGGAGGAGTGTCCTCTCCTCCCTCTGTGTCCGTCAGGAAGTCTCAGTCTGCGGCTCAGAGTTGTGGAGGAGACCGGTGAGGCGGAGGGCGGGAGAGGCGGCGGATCCAGGAGCAGCAGCATCAGCCGGGCAGAGGATGAGCTGAGCGGGCAGCGGGGGCAGCTCCCTCCCGCTCCAGCTCCTGTCGGACCGACACAGACTCGATATGCTCACACGGGAGAAGTTGACTTCACTCCAGCTCTCCGGTGAGAGCGAAACCATCGGGAGACATCATGGCAAACGTTAAAGTTGCCATCCGGGTCCGTCCCCCCGCTGCGAGGTCAGTGTTAGCTAGCTGCTCACTTTAACGAAGCCTCTTCACTCGTGTCCACGATCCGCTGGGTTCGTGTTGGTTCCAAATGTTTGTCTGAACTGCTGCAAGTGTTGCGAACCACGGGGAGTTAGCATGTTGTCAACACAACACAATGCTCCTCACGTTGTGTTTGTATTAGCTGATATTTGTATTTAGCTTTTTGACACACACACACACACACACACACACAGATAGAAGAAGCTAGCATGTTAGCTTTCTTTAAAACTTTGTGGCTGCTGAGTAAAGCACAAACACTGAAGTTAAGATTGAAGTGTTTACTTTCACACTTTAACCAATTCATGAGGGTTGTTATTAGGAATGAGTTGCTGTGTTTTATTCAGGACACTTTGGGTTTTAAATAACCAGCTAATTTGATTCAGAAATAAAAGAATAAAAGAATAACTAGCAGAGTTTACAGTTTATTTCTCAAAAAAACGAAATATTAAATTCCAATTTCCCTTAAAGTTTCTATTATATATTCATATTCATAACTGCACAAATGCACCGAAGCTAATGCCTGGTATGTGTAAACCCACTTGGCAGTAAAACTCGACTCTGATCAGTCAAATCAATAACACATTAATCAAACACTGTTTTACAGTTGATGAATCATTTTGAGTCTTTTTGTTGTCCATAAATTACAGACAGTTGTTGGTCCATGATAGTAAACTATCTTACTGTCTATATAACTTGGACAAAAGTAGAAACAAAAAGATGTCACCTGTGGCTCTGCAGAATTATTGAAATTTCTATGAATCATTTTTCATTAGATATATTTTATAGTTTCATTCACAAAAATCATTTGATTCCATTCTGCTCCTATACATGTGCCGTATTGGTTTGTCCCATTTCTTCAAGCCATATGATCTCCATGTTTTAAAGACTGCATATGGCTCCATCAGATGGAAATATTCTTGTTACCATTACTCAGAATCACATCTGGTGTCTTTACACCACAGTCGGGAACATAAAATTAATTGTACGTGCCTTTCTGTTGATTGAATAATCATCTGTTCACTCATATATATCTTTTTATTCCCATTTATTCATTTTACGTCAAGCAGCTTAGTGAGATGCATTTATGGGGGAAAGAAACTTTTCCACTGCTGTAGAATCTCCTGTTGAAGTAGCAAAGCAACACGAGGACGTTGTAAAGTTGCTTTTCTCTACTCTACAACATGTTGAATAACAGGTCTTATGGGGCTGGACATATATAGAGCATATCAATTCTATAGTGGTACTTTAAATTGCTTTTAGCTCCTGCAGGATGTTCTGCAGAGCTGCTGAATCTAACGTCCACTGCCATGATAACCATGATAAAGAATTATTCAAGCTATGAAGCGCAGGACAATGATTCTTTCAACCAGTCTTCCTGGTGTTTTGCATAAATCTCTTATCCATAATGTTCACTTGTGCGAATCTGTCCTTCCTGATTACTGGCTCTGACACTCATACTGTCCTCTTTTCTATTTTAAACTGAAGGACGTGTTTCCTTATGTTTGAATTAGAATAATGACCTGCTGCAGAGATAACATTAACACCAGCCTGGTCAAGTGCATCCTCCATACACTTGGGGCATCGATAGAAGTTTGTATTTTTTTGTTTTCAGTGTTTTGACATGTCCGATTCAGCGGGCCTCCCCTGAGAATGCAGTCAACCACTCACATGTGCAAGAAACACGTCAGCCCGGTTGTGAAATTGCTCGTCTTGGGTTTGTATCAAAGTGTTTTTATTTTTTTATGAGGTTGACTATTTTCCACCCCCAGCCTCCACTTCTCCATGCTGAGTAGAGCCTGAGGTTGACTGTTGGTGGTTTTGGTTTGGGTCCTCGCTGCTGGGGTTGGCAAAATGAGCCCCGATTGGTGAGGCACTGGGGGGGGGGCTGAAAATTACAACAGCCCCCATGTCTGCCCCTAACCCACCACAGAGACGGAGCTTTTACATTACAGACATGGTTCACCATCATTATCGCTCCTGGAGATTGAAACTCTGCGTGCCCTTGTTTTGATTGCCTCCACTTCTGCATGTGTTGCATCAGTTGTGCTTGGTCCAGCTGTTGAAGCACACACAGCTGACAACTGGCCTTGTTTTACTCACACACACACACATAGAAGGAGACACGCTGGTCCCAGTTATACACACACCCACACACACACTTGTGCACGCTGTGGATTTTGTGGAAATGGCGCTGGCTGTCTCATCAGATGATCTCTCTGCAGTGTGAGGGTCTGTTTTCATTTGAATCTGAGACTGTTCAACTCTTAAGTGACAATTTCATGGATCCCATGCACAAGCACACAAAGAATCATTGTTGTTACTGTCACGTGACGGCCCCCGGTCAAGTGGAACCAGCCTAAATGTATCTGGACATGCTCTCAATTATATCAACAGCAGCAACAGAGGATTTTAAACTAATTTGAATCTGACTGTAAGAGGAGAATCTGAGCCCAAAGGGAAACCATTGTTAAATCTCCTGTCTGGTTTGCATTTGAAGTGGGAGACACTGATCAATTCTGATTGTGTCCATTAGATCTTCTCTTTTCCGTTATTGTTTCCAGCTGACTGAGGTAAAATCAGTTGTTCTGTTGTTCACAGGGAAGGTGCGGATGGAGGAAAGCTTGCAGTTCAGGTGGAGGATAAGTCTGTGAGGATCCAAAATGTGAAGGTGAGTATTTCTGTACACAGGTATCCCACATACCTCACAATAAGTCCGTGTTGGGGAGCGTTTTTGCTGGACTGGGTGAATTGGGACTTGCCTGCAGAGTGAGGCCATCACAGCAACAGGATGTTTACAGCTTTTTGATCAGCTGTTTCCTGCTTGATGTCATTGTTGTTTATTATTAATTGAACTCAGGAATACACACATGAATTAGGTCGAGCACATGAAGTGTGGACGCTCGTGAATCTGGCTCCAGACATTATTAATGAGGGACAAGAGGAGTTTTCTATATTTATACTTTCTGACTGAAAGGGGTAATTTTAGGTTTGAGTTTTGTTTCCGAAATTAGCGTAGGTTTCGAGGAGGTTTTGCACATTTGGAAATAATTATTTTGTGAAGTCCCGTAAGCTGATACTTTCACCAAGTTACCAACCTGCTGTGTCAGATGGCTGAGAGTAGACAGTCTGGTTCTGTCCCTACAATTTCAGTTTGGCACATGTTGCACACTGTTTTTCATTTATGTTAATGTTTGCTTTGGTTAAAAGCCAAGATAAAAGACAGGAGAGTTTGTAGATAGCGTGATGTAGCCCTGTTGAAGATCATATCACAAACGCCAGATGTTTACAAATGATCCTAACCTACAAAAATAAAAGTTCATGTGTATGTGGTACTTTGTTTACTTTACTTTGGTTGCATTTTAAAGGCAGAAGAATGGAGAGAAGTTGGGTGGGGGGGTTGGAGAATCGGTTGCAAATGATGTGACAGAGACAAACCACATATGGCTTCCCTCTGCTGTGGAACAGGATCAAGACTCCAAGGCTCTTGCGGGTCTCTTGGGAATAATTATTTATGGAAAGTGGGACAGTTTTGGAGGAACTGAGACAGAAAACAGCCTGGATTTTACTGGATAATAAATGTAACGCTCCCATACAGCAAGTAGCAAAAAGCTATAAAGGCTTAGAACTAAATTAAAACTTGTGAAACAAGAACAAAATGAGTTATTTTTTTACAAATACACAACCTTGTTATTTCTAACACCATTACTCTGTGGTGGGAGCTTTGCTGGTCTGGAGATTTTCCCTGTGGCCAGTGTTGCTCTTGGCTAATCCCTCTCACCACAAGGCCATTGTTGAATTTCAAGTGCTGGGGGGTTAAACAGACACGCTTTTAGGTGAGGAAATTGCTGCGTACAAATTGATACCCAGAGCTTAGTGTTGCCCAATGCTGCATAGTGAGGAAAGATGATTTGATAAAGTCAATCATTTCATCATAAAATAAATATAAGTAAATAAAAATACTGAGTTTACGATGTAATGTTTTTGTATTTGAGCTTAAAGGTTGATTCGATTACTTGATTACCAAATTCTTGCTCATACATTTGCTATTTATCGATTAACACGACAAATAGTTTCAGCTCTAATTTGATTGCATGCATATAAAACATCATCAAACGATTTGGCCTGTTCTCAATGATTTTAAAAGAAGTGGATCTTTAGGCTTAAAATGAAGCTGTTCATGCTGACTTTGCCACGAGAGCAGCACCATCTTGTTTTTCACTAGATATACGGTGTCATAATCAGTCAATATACAGCATCGCCAAGCTCGATCATCGGTCATAGAGATTCTGTACAGATCAGCTGCGGGTGGCACTTTCTCCTCAAAAGACAGATGTTCGTATTTAGAGGAAATGAAGAGATTTACAACCTCCAATCTTAAAAAAATAAAACACGAATTCACAGAACATCACTAAACTCAAACGGTTCTCCAGGTTGAACGCAGTGATTTAGAAGAAATGCTTAGACGCTGGAATGTTTTCCATTGTAGCTGTTGTGCCTGGACAGGTCCTCATCCTGCTGTGTTGTTTTTCCTCAGCGGAGGATTCACTCACAGTAAGCAGAAAGGTGTTTAGTGTTGATGCACCGAGGCGAATAACGGACTGTAGGAGGAGTGAAAGCATTGTTAATGAATGGAAACTGCTTGCTTGCAATTCCACACCCCAGCAGTCTCATAAACAAAAACTGTAATACCTTTTCATGTTATTAAATGCACACACACGTTCACCCACATAAAAGTGTGTGTCAGGTTATTCTGTGTTCGCTGTTAAAGCAAATTCCTTTTCATGTACTTCTGGATATATCACTGACATTTCTGCTGTGTGATGATGAGCATTCGTTACTTTAGTGAAGATGAAAAGAGTTCAGAATTAAAAACATGTGCTTTAATCTTCTGTTTTCCTGCCTGAAGCTGGATGGACGTGCAGACGGAGCTGTGGATTCCAGGGAGAAGCTCCTCGAGTTTTGTTTTGACTACTGCTACTGGTCGGTGGACCCTGCAGACCCTCACTATGCCTCGCAGGAGGAGGTAATGACTGAGCTTTCTAACTGGACGTGTTTACATGAACTACAATGCCCTCTTCTTGACCTTTTCCTAAATGAGATATTATTCTAATTGAGTCTAAGGTTTTACCACACACTTAATCTCAGTTAACTATTTAATATTTATCTATCAATTTATTTTCACATTGACAAGGTATGGGGCACACAGGAGTCCAAATATTAACTGAAATGTCTGTTCACAGTGTTTTTTAACTATCTGAGTTTACATCCAGTGTTCAATCTTTAACCCTAACATTCTTTCATGTTGCTATCATGAATCAAACTTTGACAACTCAGCACATTCAGAAAGAAGAACCAACACAAAAAATCAACATATTTGTTTTTATTCTGCAATTTCTTGATCTTGTCTTGAATACTGGACATGAGAAATATATCTACGTATTTGTGCAGTGCTACCTCCATGATTTTGTACCATGTTATCTGCCGAGTTGTGGGTTGAGACAACACACGTGCGGATCCAGGCTTTTGCCACAGACACCATCTCTGTACCAACCAACAGCCCAGAGGAAACACTGATAGACCACAACAAGAGGGGCGTGTGTTGTGTTGAATGTTTTTAACACTGATGGCCACTCTGGGGGGATGTACATATCAGCTCCATCTGTTACCCAGAAGTCTCTCTGCATGGCATGGGTCGAGTCTGCTTGCTTTTCATGTCGCAGCTGTGATTGGGCAACTTGATATCTTTGTGTTGTTTTGATTGGAGGGTGTTTTTGGAACCTGAGAAGTCTCCAGACCCACAGGAAGTGGTGCCCAATTCCATTACAGGAAATATCCTGGAAAAAAATCTTTTTTTAGGTTCAAGTCTTGTTCTTAATGTGTTTCCATATAGTTTTCTTTGTTCAGCAGAACAGCTACAGTTGGTCCTCAGGGTCCGTCCTCTGCCACTCCCCTACTGTCTGTCTCCTTGTCAGAGCTGCCTTTGTATGTGTTTAAGAAAGACAGGGCTGTGATGACGGCCTACGCAGTGCACTGAGCAACAGATAACCCAGCCTCTTCCTCTCTTTTTTTCATTTCTCCGATTCTGGGTTTGGCTGCCTCCATCCTCAGCAGAACTGTGTCCAGTCACAGTGGTTTGGTCGCCACAAGACATTCCTTTGTTGACCCATGGGTGGGCGAAAGGACGGCAGCAAAGGACACAACTGCGGGATTTAAATCTGACCCCTTTTCCAGCATGAGAATCAAAAGCATTGTCTCTTGAATGAAAAAAATGGTGTATGATCACGTCACTAATCGCAACACGGTTGAAAATATTTTAATAAGGCATGGGGCGGTTATTTTGTATTAGCGTATGACGGAGTAGAAAAGAGTGGATGTGGCTGTGTTGTGATACAGAAATCCAGATTAATGGAGCGTATAGTGGCAGGTGGACTCGTAACTTAAGAGCCACTCTACCTGTTTATGAGACAAATAATTTTTCAGAGCAGCTAAGAGCCTGTCTGAGCGGTCTGTCTGTTTCACTTGGAGGCATTACGTTAAGGTAATTGCTCAAAGTAAGGGTATAGATTTTGTTTCTATCAAATATGTAATCACATATATTCATATGTTGTTTTACACATTTTCCAGCTTTGAGCTGATACAGCTTTTGCCAGCACCAGCGTTTCTCGTGGATTGTACTTATAACTTCACCCCTAACTTTGACTTTGACCGAAGTACCTCTATACCTTTGTTAGAGAGTTACCTTCTTTGTATATTTATTTGTGTCATCGTGTAGAGACATCTCAAACAGTTGACTCTATGAAAGCATTGGCCCTGCTCCGTTCAGACACTAGCTGGCTTTATGAGCCAACCCATCAATCTAGATATTTTAAAATTTGGTAATAAATGTGATATTAAATTTAGTGAGCAGTAAAATCTATTTAAACTTTACTTTTTTTTATAACAGGCAGAGGGACTTGAATTCATCTTACTCTAGTTCCCATGAGACTGAAACAAGGGTCTCTCCCTGCGATCCAACCACACCCAGCACCCCTTAGAGACTCGCCTCCCATCCCCTGCTCCCCCCTCCTGCACTGCACTGTCGACTGTACATGTCCATGCGTCAGTGATAGCACACCAGATACTTGTCTTTTCTTCTGTACAGCGTAGGGACAGAATAAGAAATGCAGCATCACATAGCAGATGTGGTTGTATTCTTGTCGCTGAGGACTCCCCACTAGAAGAAACTCTGTCTGACAGGGTGGGAGGTTTAATTATTAAGTTGTTCTATGGGTGAAAAAGAATAGAGTTGAGCAGAGAGGGGAAGAAAAAGACTAAAACAGGTGAGGAGAGGTAGGATTTTGGAAGAGAACCATAATCCGTAATGGGAACCAGCTGTTTATTCTATGCATGAGAGAACTGTGACTATTTGTCTAAAAGCTGCCTTTGTTTGGGGCCTAGATATTGAGCTAACAAATAGCTTTTTCCCTCGAATTAATGACACAAACCCCTTGGCTTGTGTTTTGCTTCTGACGGTAAGAAACATGGGAGTGGAAAGCAAAAGGCATGGAAAGTCAAGAGAAAGTGATTAGAGAAACTGGGAATGCAGATTCCTTGGGTACAGAGGGAGCGGGGCAGGAGGGGAAATGGGCAGGGGGTCCTCTGTGCCTCTGTAGCCCCCAGCTCTCGCCTGCCAAACTCGCATCTGCCTCACTAAGTAATTTTTTTGCATTTAAATTTCAGTGCTAAGACGTCACTGCTGAAGGATTAGTCTCAGAGCACAATGTAGTTTTTATGGCCAAGTGGAGTCAGCTTGCTGAGGGTTTTCCCCTCCTCCTCGTCCTCTTTCTCCTCCTCCTCTTCTTCTATCTCTGTCTCCGTGCCTCAGTCAGTGCCGTGCGTGATTTGATTTTGCTCGCGGTGTTTCTAGGTCTGTGTGTCAGTAGTGCTGCAGACTGGGGGATGAATAGTTTCTCTGTGGACGGGAAGAATCCTCTACACGCGTGAGCATTTACACCCCCCCCTCAACACACGGCTGGAACAAGAGCCAAACGTCCAGTTCAGCCTGGTTTGAATCAACTGCAAACAGGACAGCAAATAAACCATAAGCTGTCAACTGTCAATTGGCAGAGTGGCTGGATCCTCAGTTTACTGACCGGATTTAACTCAAAAACAGCTGAACCGATTTACATTAAAATTTTGGGGAGGGGTGGGGCATGACCCGAGGAAGAACCCTCATTTTGGATGGATCCAGACAAACAGGCAGATCCAGGAATCTATATTTTAATTCAAGTCAAACTATAGTAATGTTGCAGCACTTTATCCCCTTGGGAAGAAATCCATCCTGCACCAATGAACCCTATGGATATAGCCCAAGGCTCCCGTCAGTCTGAAGGCTGGAGATGTGTTTTCCAGTCCCACCGTAAAGAGTGTGACATGCAGCTCTGCTCCACAGTGTTGTGCTTTGGCCTCTTTAATGAGGAATGGGGGAGGAGCAGCAACTCCACAAACCCTCTCCAGATATGGTTTTATTTATTTGTTTTAAGTCGAGCCTTTGCCCCCAGCCTCAGTTGCAGTCAGAGTGTATTCTGGTGGAAAGTGGGTTGAACGGCCCGAGTGACCCTTGCCTTAAAATGTTTCACTTCCCTCTTCTTCTGCTCCTCTTTTTTCCCCACTGTTCTTCATTCCCATGTGTAGGGAGGCCTGAGTAATGAAGAGCAGCCTGTCTGTTTGGCCTTCATATCTCCGTCTCCCCCTCCTCCCTCTCTCGCAGCCTCTCTGCCCTCCCATGCTAATTTGACCTACAAATTCTGTCCAAGTGTGACAAACAAGAGCGTTGTTGAACTCCCAACTAAACAGCTTCCTCTCTCTGTCTTTTTCTGCATGGGATTCTGTCTCTGTCCTCCCAGTGGTCCTCTACACATTTAACCCAGTTTCTCCAAATCAGATTCCTCGCAGGAAGTCAGGACTAGGATCTCTTGTGACACTTCTTTTTCCCCGTGTCTAATCAGAAGTATTTAGTTTTAGCTCGAGGTCCAGCTGCTGTGTTTGTGTGATCCAGTTGGAAAGTGTGAGACAGGAACCAAGTGACCCTCGCTCCTGCTGCAGCTGTCCTCTCCTGGGCGGAGAGAACTTTTTTTATATTTGTTGATAGCAGTTATGTTCTTCGCTTGACTCACCCATCGGGGGAAAAAGTTGCATTTCCTTTTGCTCTAGTTTTACCACGTGCAGTCTTGTGTGTTTGCTTTGCGAGTAGAGACGCCCTCCCAGTACGAGCAGCCGTTGAGGGAAAATTCATCTCGGCCCTCTTGGTTGCGTCAAACCTGGCAAAAGTAAAGAGAAGCTGAAGTTTTTAAATGTGGCGAAGGGCTTCACTTTGCTTGGCTGGCCTTTTGCCATCACCCATGACAACACATTCACACACACTCACTACACATAAATACTTCTCCAGGGTTTAGCGTAGAGCAGGCCACATAAAACCAGGCGAGCAATCGGCCTTTTCCACAGCCAGTGATTACAGGACTCATTACAGAGACGTTACAACATTACTTTTCCTTTCCTGTCGGCCCGTCTCTATCAGGCTGTCTTTCTCTCTTCACCATCGCCACCATATTTTAACATTTTTCACCCACTTCCCCCAAGTTTTTTTTCCAAGTTACAAGGCCACAAACCAGACTCCCTCTTTAGAAAATGACCATTTCCCTTATTTCAAAACAAACATGGAACATAGTGTTTATCATCGTTCACATCTCTTACGTGAAACCCAGCTGCTTCCTTCAGGAGAGTTTTTGTCTGAGAGCTACTTAGCTAGCTGCACATTTGACATTCCAGCTGCCAGAGTTTGCTTTTCCAAAATCTCTCTGTATGTTGTCACTCGGTGGATGTCATGCATATCATGTGGCAGCATTAATTGCTGTGTGCAGTCTTATCTGCTTTATTTCCCCACCTCCTGACATTGCTGTGCTTACAGCTGCGTTCTTCCAGGACTGGATGATCAAATCTACAGATTCAAAGACACTACAAATTCCGTAGCGTTTATCCTGTATTTAAGGTCACACCTGTTTTCTCTGAGGGCCGTTCAACCAGTTTTTCTACTTTATTAGAAACTCGATCGTGCAGAGATGGAGCAAAATATAGGATATCATGGATGAACTGTGCAAAAAGTCATCAACAGGGTTTTAAACAGGAAAACTAGACCAAATTAGAAACTCAGCCGCTACCCCCACTAAACCCAGACCCTTGTTGTATTCTTCCTTCCTAACTCTGTGTTGACTCGATCAATCTGACCTGCATTTCCTGCACAAGAATGAAAACTATATTCTGCTTTTCCTCCTTCATTGTTAGATTGTTTGTACATTTTTTCCTCAGAGGAGGAAGCAAACTCTGAAGCTTTTGTACTTGTTGTGGATGCTGCTTCCTCTCAGTCGCTTATCTGGTCAGAGACGCACACACACACACACACACACACACACACACACACACACACACAAACACACACACACACATGCAACAGCATGTTGATGACAACTGCCTTCCTGCTAATTGAAGTGTTTAGTCTGTCCCCTGTGCATTTGGAGGTGACCAACCTGCCTTACACACTTGCTGCGGCTCCAGCCCTGTCACTTTATCTTCAGGCTGTTTTCCTCCAACTTTGTTTCTGGAGTACATTTCCATTCCTGACCCGTCTCTTGCCTCACCTGTTTTGTTAACACCAAAATACCTCCCAGTGTCGCAGGGTGCTGTAAACTGTGAAAGTGACAGTGAGCCATTGTGTTCATTTAGGCATCCACAGTACAATGGCACAAATTACGATCCTCTGATTTAATTTGATCTGACAGTGATGACAAACAGGATTGTTTGAATGTTGACCGTCTAGACAAACTCGTACACACATTAATTATAATTATCACAAGAGGTTGAAATAAGTTTATGCTTCCTATTTAGTGTTTGTTTGCAGGTCATGAAGTATTTTTAAGACTTTCAGTTTAAAAAACACATTCAAAACACAGTAGAAACATTGGAAACAATTGGAATAGTGTATAAAAAGTAAGAGATAATCAGGTTCAAAGAAGGATCAGATAGCTGGAGTGAAGTTCCTGCTCTTTGTGCAAAGCCTGTCGGGACCCTCAGTCCCCTCATAGGCCCCATAGTGTGAATTTAAGAGGGTCAACTTTAACAAGAGCTGTGTTGATTCTCTGTGTTTGAGGGAGGAGAGGATGTCTCTGTCTCTTTTTTTGAATAGTGGGATGAGGACAAGACGGGGGCGGCGCTGATTTCTGTCTCCCTGTTTAAGCCTCCATTCAACCAAGAGGCAGGGGGGCAACACTTGGTGGTCTTAACTCCAGTGGACCGCACACTTTGGGATTGTTTGTTGAGCAACAGTATAAGTTCACTCATTCTCATAGAGCTTCATTTACACATATCCTTATCTTTTTGGATTATTTGTAAGGTTTGAAGTCTTTTTCTGTGCTTCAAGAGTTAAACTAGATTTCTATGCATTTGAATAATAATGATGATTTCTTACGTTTCTACCACAGCGCCTGTTAGGAGATTTATAGGGTCATTGAGGAAGACAGCCGTTGGGGGCAGCACTTTTACTAGTTGCACGTGGCCGTTGTATGCACATGGTTGGCAAGGCTACAGAGACATCCTTTAAAATGAAAAAAACTGTCTGTTGGGTTCGACACAGTTATTTGTTTTCTTTCTTTATTCATTAGTCTGGATAGTTCTCTTTTTTTATCAATAGTTTTTTTTCTGTAAACTGAAGAGAAATGTGTTATTTTATTTCATTTCAAAAGAGGCAAATTCTCACATTTGAGGATCAGGGACTAAAAAGAATGTTTGACATTCTTGCTTTTGATCAACAGAAATGACTATTTTCAAAGCTACTAAATCAAATTTCAATCAGTGTTTCCTGCATCTTAATTGTGAATATAATCTTCTTCTTTTATGATAATAAATGTCATATCTTCAGTTACGTTTTGTGCATTGGACAAAATAAGACATGGGAAGATGTCACCTCAGTTATAGAGAAATAGTTTTGGCCCTTTTATATTTTCTGATATTTTAGAGACTTAAAAACAAACGATTAATCAATAATTATAGTAGTTTAGTTGTAGCCCTACATTGGATATAAACTGATGTTCAAACTGTATATTCTGTGGCTTTTAAAAGCAAATTAACTGAAGATTGATAATCATGTTTATAAAACTCTCTGACTTACATTTCAAGCAGGTAATCATGATTCAGTATTACATGTTAAACGTCTTTATGCTAACCTCCCGGTTTGATTTACTCACAGGTTTTGCTTTGTCACTGAAACATGGTGGTTTAATAAGGCAGTGGACTCTGTGTGAGCTTCACTCCACTGTGTCAGTGTTGGCACATTTTAGTTCTCAGAGAAAACGCAAAGGCTGTTGAATATTAACAATCAGAGATTCACACAGTCCTAAGAACAACCAGATGACCAGTGAGTCCATTCAGCCTGCTTTCACAAGGCCCGGGCCTTTCACAACAGCTTTCAACCATGTCCAACCTAAACCTATTCCCACCGCTTTGTAAGCCTAGAGTATACACAGGCTCAGCTCCAGGTCCTCCACACACACACACACACACACACGGGAGGTACACTGTATGTTGAAAATATTCCCGTGTTTGATCCTGGAAGATCGTGGTAGATCTTAGAGCCTCCTCCCCCCTAAGTTCACTCACCGACCAGTCTCTGTTGTCCAGACTTGATCCCGGGGGCCAGGGGAGGGGACCCCCTCACTGATCCCAGGGTGTGTTATGGTTCTGGGGGGGAATGTGCTGTGTCTCACGTCTGGTCTGGATCAGGTTGCTGCCCGCCTCAAGGCATGTGTTGTGTTTGGAGCGATATGCTGAGTTGCAGATGAGGCCACATGTCACCAGGAGCCGGTTCTGATGCGGTTTCTTTTTGCTTATCTGTAATGAACAAAACAATTATAAGACTGACGATAACAGAAACATATTCTACACATTTTATCAATATATTCATCAATGATTTGAATAATTTGGAGTGAGAAACAAATTGCAACAGAAAGGTGTTGTGATGTGGCCTCATGCTAATATTCCCCAGATTGTGGCTCCTAGATTCAGACACACAGAGGGAAAGAAAACAAGAGGCCCTGGTTGATTGTTTTGAGTTGGACTCTCCTGTATCACCACTGTGCTTTTAGGGAAGGTTTATTTTCCTGACCTAGTCAGACCTGATCAATATCTTTTTAGCCTCACATTTGTTTTCTCTCACATACACATTCTGCAGAAGTGTTTACCCAGAGCGTCAGCTGACCTCCCTGCTCCTTGCCCAAACACCTCAGCAGGAAGCAGCATTAGTTCTCCACCTCTGGCCTGGTGCCACAGCATTGTGGTGGAGAAACCTTGATGCAAATCTTTGCTGCTGTAAAAAACACAATGGAGTCAACATCAAGGGCATCGGCTTACATTGCAAACTCCTCATCAATCTACAAGCGTGTCTACTTTTTTTAGTAAAACAAGCTTTAGGATGTGTTTGAAGAATCATTTGAATCATTCTTTACCATTAGTTAACATGTATTTAAACTGGTTTTCATAACAAATCAGGGCTCTACTTCATCATCTTTTGGAAGAAAAGGAGTGAAATCTAGGTGATGAGCTGCACCCAGTTGTTTATAGACATCTCTTTGGCTACATCCATACCAATACGCTTTAAAACTATAACAAACTCGTTTTAGACGCTCAAAAACAGGTGTAAACATGATGTAAAACTCAGTAATGGGTTTTAAAACTACAACATAGAATTGTGGATGTAGCCTCAGCTGGTCTCTCTCCATGTAATCATGACGTATGTGTTTTTCTCCTCAGGTGTTCCAGGACCTGGGTGTGTTGGTGCTGTCCGGAGCGTCGGAGGGATACAATGTGTGTCTGTTTGCTTACGGCCAAACAGGATCTGGAAAGACGTACACCATGATGGGGACACCGGTGAGGAGAAGCACCGGAGCAAGAGCCAGAATCACTGGATGGGATTACATGTTATTTGAGTAGATATAATTGAACCTTTGGGGCCTCAACTGATCTCACCAAACACAAAGGAATCAATGCACTTACACAGAGAACAAATTGAAACCATGCTGCGCTGCAGAACAAGCAAAACACTCTCTAAAGAAAAGCATTAAGTTGTTACCCATTTCTAAATGTGAGTGGTTAAATGAATGCTGCTGACTCTCATTCTGTGTTGTGTTTTTGTTTTGAATGGTTTCAGGACTCAATTGGCTTAACCCCTCGCATCTGCCAGGTAAGATAGTCTGTTATAATAACTGGAGGCGGTAACATGAGTGAAGTTAACATACTGAGAATGCTGCTGCTCGTGTATCGGGTCTTACACTGTGAAGTAAATGTTATTCCTCCCTTCCTTGCAGGGTCTCTTTAGGTCTGAAGACACTTTTCCCGATGGGCAAAATTCAAGCAGAGTCGAGATCAGGTACATAAGATGACTCTAGCATCTGACTGTATCGGTGAAATTCACATTGAATGCTCCAGTCCTGATGTCGTAGCAGAATCTTCATAGTTGGATGTTGTCCTGCCTCTCTGTCCCTGCAGCTTCCTGGAGATCTACAATGAGCGTGTGAGAGACTTGCTGAGAGGAGGAGAGCAGAAGAAGAAAGCCTCACTGAGAGTCCGAGAACACCCTGAGAAAGGACCCTACGTACAAGGTGAGGCAGCTGCATCTATACTTAGTCAAGTGGTAGAAAGCAAAGAGGCATGTTAACACTCAGGTTAAATGTTTTGGATCACTTAGATCACACCATTTTTTAACTCATGCAAAGAAATAGTAGTTATGATATAATAAAGGTAAAGAGATGATGATGAAGTACACAAATTCCATAAAATACATACACAAGAAAGCAGGTATACTACAGTCGCTAGCATATTACACCTCTGCAGGAGAAGTAGATTACAAAGCAGTTATATAAACAACACAAGATGAACTTAATTATAATTAAAACTCAATATTCCTGCACAGCTCGAGGTGGAATCGCAAACCAACTGATCATTCGTGCATTTGTCTCTTTCTCTCTGTCGTACTGATTAAATACTTAATTCGAGGTCCAGAGGCTGCAAATTCTCATTACCCCCCGAGAGTAGTTTCACTCAGATTAAATATGATTTTTATGCTTTGCACAAATGCTCTTTTCAATCAACTTGTGGGAATCTTCTGTCTCAGCTTCGCAGTGGGACTGTGCATATTTAAATTGAATGGCCTTATGATGAGGTGCTCTCACAGGCTATGACCTCCAAGAAGAGTTAAGTGACAATTTGTCCCCAGCCACTCATGGTGAATCATACTGTATGTCTCTACATGTAATACACATCATTTAGTCAAATTATGGATGTGGAACAAGGTCTGAAGTATTTTCAGTAATACTCTGGTCTTGTGTATTTAGTTTATAAATCATTGTGGTATGTGGTCACTGGTGGAATCTGGTTCTCTTGTTAAACTTTTCATCGGGTCCAGAATTGGACGCCTTGACTCCAGTCCAGACTTCTCTTTCAGCTTCTCACATGTTCTCTCTTATTTCTTTCTCCCTCCATCTCTTTATTTCTCTTCCTCTCCTCTCCCGCCTCTCTCTGTCTGAAGCCCCACATCCACTCATTGTCTGTATCAAGAGAAATCCCAGATGACCAGAGGAAGTGAAGTCATTTCCTTTTGGTTCCAGGGAGAACACTTCACCGTACACACAGAGCACATTTAGAAGACTCACAGTTTATACACTTTCTCTTCCATCAGCACACGTCCGTCCAACAGCTTTTTACTGTCACCATTATTGTTTTGAAATGATTCGGAGAATTGTATTACTGGATAAATGAAAACAAAGAAGATGTAACCTCGTGTTAACACCAAGAGACTCTGTGGTTTCCTGTGCACGTGTGTAACAGAGTTGAAGTGATTCATGACTGGAAGTAGAGCAATGTCATAGATTTGTTTTTAGTAAACGCTCTGGGGAAAGTATTACAACTCAAACAGGAACATGTTTGTTTCTTCTTTATACATTTCTATCTCTCTGGTTGTTTAGCTCTTGTGACAAGTGTCTTTGTGTCATTGTCAGTGTTACATACTTCTACATTTTACTCAACTTACCAGTGTAATATTATTATCCCTCCCCTATCCATCCATCCGTCCATCATCTATCCATCCATCATCCATCCATCCACATTTTTCAAAGCAAAACTTAACCATTTGGAATTTCCTAATGCAACTTTTTATTATGTTAATTCAGATTCTGGTGCCTTTTGATATTTTGGATTTCATGACATTTTTTATTTTTAGTTCCATGGCAACAAGTCTGACCCAATCAAACTGACAGTAGATTTTGTTTCTGAATAAAACTCAAGATCTATATGGGAGTTTTTCAAAGAACTCCCAGTAATGTGAATTATTTAGTGAAGTGGAGTTGTTAATGGTAAATAAATAAATAATTTTACATAATAGTTTTAGAATGATTCCAACCTGTACCTAGCAAATGTTCCTCTTCCCTCTCTGACCTAATTACCTTTGTCCAAACTCCCACCCACATTCATTTTCATTACTTCTCTCGGTTTACGTGCTTTTAATCTTTTTCTCTGTTTCTCTCTGATCAGATCTGTCCCAGCACGTGGTCTCAGACTTCAAACAGGCAATGGACCTTTTGGAGGAAGGCATTGCCAATCGCATCACTGCAGCAACCCACAACCATGACGCCAGCAGCAGATCCCACGCCATCTTCACCATCCAGTACACACAGGTCGCCATCGCCCCTCACCACCCAATGAGCGAACTATATAGTCACACTTATTATTTCATAAATCACTCTGATGATGATTCTCTGTCACATTCTTGGGGCCAATAATGGCTCATTGGTTTCTGGCATTCAATTAATATGGCAACTCTCCATTTTAATGTGAAACACTTATCATTAGCAGATTGATTTGATTGCGCTTGTCATTTTTTCCCACAGGCAATCCTAGAAAACGACCGTCCTTCAGAAACTGTCAGCAAGATTAACCTGGTGGACTTGGCTGGGAGGTGAAACAGCTTCTTTCCTTCTTTCTTCTTTTTGTCATCATCCTTTAACTTTGAGTCATTGACAAAACTGCCCCCTAGTGGATCTTGGCTACTGCCTCTCCATTGTGACATTTTCTCCACATCTAAATTTTTAATTATTTCCAATGACATGACCTGAAATTCCATGTTGTGTTTGTTTTGGTTTTTTAACAGCGAGAGAGCAGACCCCCACTACTGCAGAGACAGACTGACAGAAGGCTCCAACATCAACAAGTCGCTGGTCACTTTGGGCATCGTCATTTCTGCTCTTGGTAAAATAACAAGCTGTTAAAAAATGTTATTATTACAGTTTGAAGTTCAAGTGATGAAGTAGAAGAATGTTTTTTTTTAGATTGGGATACAATTTAGCATGCAGCTACACAAATTCCTGTTTCTCCTTCCACTTTTCATCTAACCTTATTCCTCTGTCCTCTCCATTTTACTTTCTCGGGCACACCTCTCAATTCTTGTATCGTGCTCCACCACAGCCCAGAACTCCCAGATGTCGAGCAGCTGCCAGAGCATCAACAGCATGGCCTCAGAGGGTGATGGCAGCACGGTGGGTAGTCACAGCAGCTCCCTGTCTGGAGGAGGAGGTGCAGGAGGAGGGAGGAGGCACTGCTTTATCCCCTACAGAGACTCAGTCCTAACCTGGCTGCTGAAAGACAGCCTGGGTGGCAACTCCAAGACCATTATGGTTGCAAGTAAGTGGAATTCTTTAGATTGAATATAGCACTTCCATAAGCTTGGCTAAGATCAGAATTGATGTATAAATGAGCTGAGAGGTGACATTGGATCCTAGATTTTTATCTATGTAAATGTTGTACCAGACAGTAAAGTGGTGACTGATTGTGTCGTGTAAAAGAGACATAAAAGCCGCTTTAAAGAAATATGACAGTGATATCGTCTGTTCTTCAACAATAAAGTGAATTTTGGTGCAGTTGAATGTTACAGCAAGGAAAACGTTTCCACTTCTCAGTCTCTGAAATGCATCTATGCCTCCAAACCCAGTATTTATTCTGGTTTCTTATTTATTTATTCTGGTTTCTTATGTGTCACTAAAGTCTCACTTACTAAACTGATATTGTTACTTCATGTGATCTTTTTGTTAATTGCTCTGTCTTGTCTTGTGTTTTTCTACACTTCTGTTTTGCAGCGGTTTCACCCTCCGCTAACAGTTACAATGAGACCCTCAGTACTCTGCGCTACGCTGCCCATGCCAGAAATATTGTCAATAAACCCAGAGTTAATGAGGTCAGTGTCTGGTCATTGATGCCAAAATTTCATGTGTGAGCTAAATGTTTTTTGGTAGGTTAATGTGTGCGCTCTGAATTCTGTGCAGGATGCCAATGTTCGGCTGATCAGGGAGCTGAGGGAGGAGATTGACAGGCTGAAGAGCATGCTGCTCAGTTTTGAAATGGTACAGTGACCTTTTATCATAAGAGCATGTCGCTGACTCTCTCAGGGATACATCCCGCTTCCCCAGAAAGAAAGCTCTCCCTCAATACTGAAAGGCTTTGAATAAAAGAGATTCCCATATTACAAGTTTTTGTACTAAAGGCTTAATACGGTGCTTTGTGTCTTTGTGACATTTTTAATGAATGTAAAGATTGAAAGGTATTGTATCGTGTGACACTCTCCTTTTGCACAATATGTTGACTGATCTTCTTCTTTTTTTTTTCCTCACCTCTTGACTGACAGCAGCGCAATCCCAGTCCATCCCTGAGTGATGAGAGGGATGGAAATCTCTCTGACATTGTGCTTCAGAATGAACTGAAGGTAACACCCGGTCAACACAGATGGCTACAGCTGGGCCTTGATGCTTCAAACCAGTGTGCTTTCATATGAACGAATGTTTTTCAAGACTCTGACAGAAGAGAAATTCAGGGCCTCATGTAATAAATTGCATCAATCCCTCATAGACAGATTTATCACCAAATAAGTCGGACTGCCAGATGGGGTCACGGATACAAAGATAGAAGTGTGAGATGTTGATTCATACAAAGTACTGTATAGAAAGGTTCTATCTTGGGACCTTTGGGATAAAACTTTGAGGCTTAGAGTTTAAAGGTTCAGTGAATCAGTTGAAATATATTACAGACCCTTAATAGGTTTTTTATTTTTTTTGATGTTTATCCGACATATCTAATAAACCATCATTATCACTAATAGTGATATTCATCGTTGTGGTAGTATCAACATTAGTTGTTGGACTGAAAATGTGAAGCAACTATTAGAATAACCATGACCTCAGAAATGAGCCACTTTTTTATCCCCCTCACTAGTTTTTGTCCATCACTCTTCATGATCTCCCTTCATCATTTTCCTCCTCGTCTCCCCCTCAGGTGCAGCAGCTGACGAAGGACTGGTCGGAGAGCTGGGGAGACAAGAAGGAGCTGCTGGAGCAGTACAGCGTGGACATCAACAGGGAGCGGGCCGGCTTCCTCATCAACTCCCTCCAACCACACCTGGTTACCCTCGATAGAGATGTTCTCAGCACCGGGGTCGTCTTCTATCACCTCAGGGTAAGAAAGAAATGAGAATTAATGTGTTGTGTCCATTTATAAACATATATTAGTATCTGATTTTGTATTACACATACTTTTTAGGCTTCTTTTGGTATTTGTCTATAATGTGTACATTCTTCTTTAGGTTTTTGATTACAAGTAAAGATGCTGGAGCTAATGTTCATATTAGAAGTGTTGCTGCCATTACACTAAAAATACACATTCGCATTAACTATAGTTTGCACAAACTGTTTTTCCTTCAGTCTACTTTTTCCAACTCTAAAGTTACTGTGTTTGTCAGCCGTCTTGAATAAAACCTAAAATCTCTTTTTTTCTTGTCTGCTAGGTTCTAGGTTCTTCCCTCTCCTCCTACTATTTCTCTCTGTTCTGCTAGAAAAACAAAAAACTCTTGAGAAAAGGTGTGTTTCTTCTTCCTACTTTCTTTTCACTTTACTCTCCGACTGTCCTGTCAATCTCCCGTCTCTCTGTGTGAACGTCTTCTGCAATGCATAAAGCTGGGTTGGATAAGAGGCTCTTAGTTCTGAGGCTAGGACTCAGGGGAGCTTAAGATGCCCTGATTCTGACAGTGACAAGTGTACCCGTAGGCCTGACAATTACACTGTTTCCTGCATGTGAAGAGCTGAGGCCACCTGGGAGCACATGTGGTCCTGACACCGTATAAGAAAGTCTTTAATCACATTTGACTTCAAAGTAAACAAATTGGGTTTTTTTCTGTCAGAAAAGTGGAGGATTAGAAGTGAAAGGACAAAAGATATCTTAAGAACATTGTGTAAATAAATTTGGTATTCTATTTACTGCTGTTTTTGTGTCGAAGATTCACAATTACTGAAAAGTGTACATTTGTTTTGATGTTTTTTGTTCATGTGGATTTTGTGTTTACACCGTGTGTTCTTTGTTGTTGTAGGAAGGAGTCACTCACATGGGACCTCAGGACCAGTGTAAGGAGCCGCAGATAGGTGCAACTCAAGTTCATTTCTTCTCCATGTTTCATCATCCAGCTGCAAATATTCATTTTCAGGCTGTGCAATGAGATTGTTGTTGTGAACTGTCTTACATTACAATAGAGGAAATCATCAAAAGCCTCTTACAGGCTTGTATTATCACAGAGTAAACATGCAACAAAATGTGACAGCTCTAGACAATACATGCAGCAAAAAAACACAAGATCAAATAGAATATTCAGGTCAGTAACTTGTAATAGTGAAGTGAGAGTGCATAATAAAACATAATGTGTCCGAAAAAGGCTTGTTAACTTTGCATTAAATGCTGCATTGAGCACTGAATATATTCAGCAGTACAGCAGCTGCCTCGGGACAGCTTTGTAAATCAGTATGTGTGATTGTGTTTCCGTTTCCTGTCTCTAGTTCTGCAGGGTAGTGCAAGCTGTGAGATTGAAAACCGTGGAGGTGTGGTAACGCTCAGACCCTTGTCAGGCTGCTGCTGCCTGCTGAACGACAGAGAGATCACTGAGCCCTGCAGACTGGCTCAAGGTCAGCTCATGTCCACTGCATTTGTTACCCTACCTTGCGTCATGAAGAATTCCAGATGTCAGAGTTTAAAGTGATACATTTATTGATCACCTTTTTAGTAATTGTTTGGCCATGATGAAATACTGATGTGTTCTTTTGAAAACCGATTTCCTTGTACCAGTAAATATATTTTCTATTTGAAATGCACAAGATAAACTGATGTCTCTCTGTCTCCAGGGATGGTTATCACCTTGGGAGGAGTCCACAAGTTCCGCTTCAACCATCCGGCAGAGGCAGCCGTCCTCCGGGAACGCAGGCGGGTAGGTGCTGCTCAGCTGAAAATGAATGTCATGCTCCTGGTGAAGGTGGCAGTCATTGTGATGTAAATGATGAGAAGACAATTAAAATACTACAATGTCAGTGATGCACAAAATGTATACTCAAACAAAAATATTTGTTCTTAGGATACTTTCAGTGGTGATTGTTTATTTTTTTGGTAAATTGAATCAGTGCATCTCTTATCTATTGTTCTCAGGCTAGTGAAGGTGGCATGACCTGCACTTACATTGACCTCTGCCCCTTGACCCCTGACCACAGGTAAATACCATCACCAAGGAAAAAAGTTGCACAACAATACAAGAGTTGCATTGGGACAAAACTCATTACTGTGAGTGCGATGTGCAGAGACTTTTTTCTGCCAGCTCACAGCATGCATATTTAATAAGAGGCACATGTGTTGTACAATGGTACATGCTCTAGAAATAGGGCAGTGCTTCGTGCTTTTTGCTTCAGCTGGTGCAGATGGCATGTGTTTCCATTAGCCCCCACCCTCTTGAGCAATCCCAGTTAGCTGTGTACAGGACATGCAAAATTGTTGCTTGGTTACTGCTCAGACGCTGAACTGAAAACCAACAACAGAAGCTTCTACTTTCAACCCAACACTCACCAAGCTGCTATATTCGAACATCAAATGATGCTTTGCTGGGGTAAAATAACGCCTTTGCTTTTTTCCCTCTTATTTCATCATCTGTGTTTAATCCTGTATCTTCGTGCTGGAATTATAGTGTCGAGGGAGCGAAGCTCCAAGAGCAGCTGGGTGCCTGTCTCTCCGGCAGTGAGGAGCCTACTGTGAGACAGCGTGTGGAGGAGCAGCAGCGCTACGTGGAAAGTTTGCGACAGGAGATCCAGGCTGCACAGAGACGAGCTGAAGGAGAGCTGGAGAGGGAGCAGGCTCACCTTCGACAGCAGCATGCTGAGAGTAAGTGCTTTCCACACACCCACATGTAGAAAGTTGTCACTGCTCATGTTGATACCAATCAAGTTTCAAACTCCGAGCAAAAATCTGGATAGAGAAAACTCATTTTAAATTGCAACAAAAACGACTTGAAATTCAGTTTATTTGATAAATATATGTGTGTAAATGTTTTCCATCGCTCAACATTCCTCTTCTTGTTTCTTTATCCAATAGTCCAGCAGTGGATTTTACAAGAGAAGCAGCGTCTGACAGCTTTCACACAGAGAGTCACCCAAGAATCTGGAGTTCAAACAGACGTTATCCCTGAATCTCTCCCGGGGCGGCTCACAAGCCAGACATCAGATGATCAGGAAGATCCAACAGTGAACCGTCCCTGCCAGGTGGTAAAAGCCAGGAAGAAGGTGGTGCAGGAGGAGCTAATAAAGCATCACGCCCTTTGTCGTGCTGAAAGCCGCATCCGTCGGAAAAGGCTGCAGTACCAGCTGGAGAGAATTGCCCGAAAACAGCATCTATTGGAGGCGAAGAGGGAATTGCAGCAGCTGGAAAAGACTTTGCCTCTGGGGCCGGACAGCCCAGAGTCTCTTGAGCAAGTGTCCCCCTCCAACCTCAGAGGACGACACTTTGTTTCTCGTCGACACTCATTCTCAGCAGATCTTCTGTCCCGGCTCTACCCACAACACACCCCCATCTTCAGGTGAGCACATAGAGTAAAATGGAAAGCCTGTAAACTTAGTTGCTGCTGAATTTGAGGGGCTCATACAGAAAATATATTCTCAGACTACCTTTATTTAAATATTTGCCTTTTCTCTACTCAACAGACATTTCCTGAAGAGAAACCCATCCACAGACCTGACTTCAAATACCTCTGCTACTTCTGATTCCATTGGCAGCAGGAAGTGGGTGTCAGATGAGTGTCTTCCTCGAGAAAGAGCTCAAAGCTGTTCTGGAACAAACTTCTCAGGAAAAAGTCCGTCCTGCCAGAGTAGATTTAACTCCTCTGAAAACATCAGACAAACATCTGGTGAGGAGCCGCAAGCTCTGACCTGTCGGGAACGGCCTGAAAGAAAACCTCTGCTGCCCAACCGAGATCTGTCTTTTAAAAACCGATCAGATCAAAACTCAACTGTTACTTTGAAGTCACCACTTGGAACTGCAGTGCAGCCAGTCAGCAAAGAAAATATACACAGACCCGCAACGGACAAACCTAGTTCTGAAATTGTCTCTTGTATGACTGGGAGAACTCCATCCCACACACCTAACAGTGGACTAGAAACCATCAGGAAATCTTTCTCTGGTTCTGTGGGGCCCCGTTTAAAAACGGCTCTGTCCAAAGTGTTCAGGAAACCACCATTGGGTGCGAGTGGAGGACGAGGCCTCAAACCTTTTGGGAGGATAGCGAGCAAATTTCACTGGAGACAAAAAAGAGACGGGATCCTAAAGGACGGCAACATGAGCCGAAGCCAATGTGTCATCAAAGCAGCCGTCTCATGTGAGGAGCTTGACCAGAGGAGTCGTTTTGAAGGTTTCAGACAGAGGCGATGGCACAGCGCTGAGGCCCTGATGAAACAGACGTGCAGATGGGTTGAAAGGCAGCAGGGACTGATCGGATGGGATGAAGAGCAAGAAGAAAGGGATGAAGGAACGTCAGACTGTGAGAGCATTTTCTCTCTTGATTCGCTGTCCTCTGCTTATGTGACCGCTCTAGCAGAGCAGCTGAGACAAGAAGAAGCAGCTCAGAGTGGAGCAGAAAGTGAAGACTCTCAGATGTCTGAAGACTCCTTGGCTCTGGTGAGCAGTGGGAAAAATCTTGCAATGGAGAGACTTAGCCGAACAGTGGCAACAACTTACTCTCTGGTCACAGATTCTCCTGTTTTACCCATGTGGCACAATGATCAGCACCAACAGGTAATCCCAGTGGAGGCTTCCCCAAGATCAAGACCTAAAGGTGAGATTGGTTCAACAGAGAATCCTCCATTTAAAAACCCGTTAGTTTCAGATTCCAGAGGCAAAGACACAACGCAAAAACTGACTGATGACTATGGTAACATGCAGACCACTTTGACCGGCAGCTTGCGCTCACTAAGCAGCTACAGCGCGAGGGAGCCTGACAACTTGCTTGTGCTCACTGACGCCTGGTCCTCCACTGATGCAGGAGACAGTCCCAGGATTGAAAAGGATTCCCTGCCTTCACAAAGAAGAATGATGTTCAGACACGTGGACAGCAGCAGCAGCAGTAGCAGCAGCAGATCCAGTCTGACCTGTATGATTCTGTCAGACTCTCAGAGTGGATACAGAAGCTGCAGCTCAACATCCACCAGCGTGGATGGTGTAAATGTAACAGTCCAGGAACGCACACTCATGGTTTCAGGGGAGTCTCCGATTCGCACTACAACAGAAGAGCGATCAGGGTCACAGGCTGAAAATGTGGAAAAGGCTGTTATAGATACTCCAGCATCCGTACTGACCTCAGATCAGACCACTTCTGTCTCACACACTGAGATTCCCCACACTGCACAAGCATCAAACTTGCATCAGGTGTTTACAGATGCACCTACTGTGGTAGCTGGTGATGTCACTATGTCTTCTGACAGTGAAATGAGCCTCTCATGTTGTCAATCAGAAATGTATTCCTCGACAAATCCTACTAGCCAAGGCCAAGACCTGAACACGGTGTCTGAAAAGTTTGAAGATGTGCAGCAGGATGAGAATACCAAAGATTTTTCACTGTCGAGGGAAGAAACCAAAGGATCTGAGCAGCATGTTGCTCTTCAACAGGAGCTTGTTAAATCCACTTGTAAAAATTCCAGGAAGAGAAACAAAGAGCAACAGGATGCTTTTATTGGCAGCATGAAAATTCCAAAAAGGAGCAACAGCAGTGATTTGGTGACATTCTGCTCGACACCAGTTGGCAGCCAAGAAGATATTTTGCTCGATGACAATAACAACACTAATGACTCTAAAGGGGAGCAATCTGCAGTTGAAACTGGCGGCCATGAATTTGATTCGGCTTGTAATGAAGGAAGAGACAAAATGGCTTCATCTTCAGTTTCTGTGCCGATGAAGAGGGAAGTTGGACATGTCTTTGAAGACTCTAAATGTGGGCCTACAAGCAGTGACAGAAGTCCCCAGAGTGGTTTCTCTGTGGGAGACAGAAAGGTAGTCGAAAACGGAAGTAGAATAGAGGAAGTAGTTGCAGAAACAAAAGGGGGAGACACACCTATTGATAACCGTAGAAAACACTTAGAAAACAGAAAGCATGGATTGAAGTCAGATGCTATTTGTAGTGCCATTGACCTGAGAATCTCAGAAATGGTTAAAGAGAGAGTGAGATTGTCATTGATTGGTAGTGATGGTGACAGAACGAGCAGGACTCAAAGCCCGAGTGCATCATCTGTAGCTAATTGTGGTGATGAACATGCATCGACGGAAAAACAGGTCAGAGTCGAACAGAAGGATCAGATGAAAGAGACAAACCTCAGTGGACGTGTATCAGTGGAAACTACACGTGACCTGGACAGAAATGAGCACCTGGCATCAAATATGTCAGCTGAATTGAGAGAGAGCAGTGAGAGCTTCATGCTTAAATGCACTAAAGTGACACTAAAGATCAGCCAAGCTCATAACTTTCCTGACGGGACTTTAAATAAGCCAATAAACAAGGAGGCCTCTCCCAAATGCAGCGACATCCAATCAAATCTGACACTTAACAGGCACGAAGAGTCTGAGCCGCCAGGAAAGAATATTTCGTCAATCAATGATTCTCCTACAGCAAAGAAATATATTGATTTTCACGGAAATACTATTCAGAAAAATGCTCTATCTGAAGAAATAAATGATGTCCGTCAACAAAAAGTAACAAGTGACGTGTACTTGAAGAGAGTGGACATAAAGACTTGCTCCGATGTCCCTACTGGTGATCCAGATAACCCACAACTTCAACAAATACACAATAAAACACAGTCAATGATTAGTAATGCATGTGGATCTGTCCATGTGGAAGCTGTCAGTTTGGAGTGTGCATCTAATGTTGGAGATAAAAGTCATTATTCATACAAACAAAGCTCACCAAAGGCGATTGACAAGTCTCACTTGTACAGTCCCGACAGATCTGGAGCTACAACATTTTCTGATGGAGGACGTGTCCTCTTCATGTCACCTGATCCAAACAGCGACCAGAATACACCTGTTGATGAGAACGCCACGATAAAAGGGATTGCTGTTTCTCCTGGCCAGGATGAAAATGTTGAAGCGGATAACACAACAGGAGGTAAACTGTCTGTCGCATCACAGGATCAGTTTATCTGTGCAGATAATTTGGCTCAGGCTTGTGAGAGCAAAATGAGTCACAACAAGAACCACAATTTATCAAACTCACAGAGCAAATGTGACAAATACACTGAAGTCGACAGTAAAGGAATCCATGTGATGAAAAAGGATGAAGGAACATTTACAAATTGGTCCGAAGCAAAGGTTCCAGAGATCTCGGCAGAGTTAAAACATGAAAAATGTTGTTGTGGTTCAATACAACCTCCCCTCAAAAGACCACAGGGAAATATTGTCAAAAATACAAATGGCTCTGGATCTCTCGTGTCCAGAGAAGGTGATGTAAACACATCCTGTGTTACACATGGTTACTCTGCTCTTATGTCCAAAAAGACCAAGAGGTTCCGAAGGTCTAAGATCCAGACTCATCCGACCTCTTCCTCTGAGTCCTCGCTGAAGTCGTCAGATGAGGATGAGGAGGATGATAAAACCACCAGAGCGCATCACAACCGACTCCCATCTAAATGGGTCAAGCTTGCCACACAGAGTAATGGTAAACAAGAAGTTACACAGCCCAGAAGCAACAATGCAGATTCTTCTATGTCATTATTAGTAAGCAAAACTATAATTCAATCTTGTTCTGCTGGAACTCGAGGTAAAAGTGAGGTTAAACTTAATAGAGACTTTAGCCAAAAAAGACAATCATTACCTCCTCAAGCAATGTCACAACCGACAAACGCAGAAAAGATCTTTCCGAGTGCAAAGACACTGACGCCCCAGGACTCCGCTATGCATTTTGCCTCAAGTGACATCAACCCTTTTGTTCACCAGTGGCAAGATGGCGACTCAAACCAGCACTGCTATAAGAACCCGTCGTTCGGGAGCGCCGCCGACCTGTCCTGCAAATCTCCTCTTTTGAACAGTGGAGAAATACGTATAACAAGATGCTGCAGCGTGGACAACGGTTTGAACGGACAGAACTCTCCTTTCAATTCCCACCTCAGCACGTACGCCACCAACAAGGGGCTTTCCAGTACGCTTAGCAGCATAGAAGACTATAAGGAGCGTGCAAACAAAACGTCTCAGCGTGCACCTGGTCAACAGATTGATGTTAACAGTCATTTAGCCAATCTGACAGTGAGTGGCAGTTTGTCAAGCAACGGTACTCCTGGTGGTTTTGGCACCAACTCCAGTCATGTGGATGAAATCATGTACGTTTACTCATCTGAGCAAGAATCCCAGCAAAACAAAACACAGGCCCAAAGGACGAGGACGTGCGAACATGGCACTCAAACAGAGCGTGGGCTTCAAACAGTAAATTTGATGAAAAGCAGCAGTAGTGGTCCAATGAGGAAAGATCGTCACAGACGGAGCAACACTGATGTACCTACAACACGAAAAACCCAGACAGACATTAAAGAATCTCCTACGTGGGTCAGCATGGAGAGCATGTCGGCTCACCTCTCCAAGTTGATCGACAGCACCTCAGATCTGCTGGGAGACGTCCAGGAAATGAGGACAGGTGAAGTGTCCAGGTCCACTCCGAGGAGGAGCATCAACTTGTCGAACCTTAGCAGCTCGTGTGGTGAGTCTGTCGACTGCACTACGAGAGACTGCTCAACTCAAACAGCTGTAGATGTTGGGATCCAGACAGAAAAGATTTTCACACCAGCAGAGAAGCAAGTCACCATCCGTCAAACGCCCAGTGAAAAGTCTAAACCTCATGAGATCAACGTGATAGTGAAAGTGATCGGATCTGAGGCTGTGAGTGTTTCTCAAGACAAGGATGTGCACTGCGTGGTGAAAACAAAAGCTAACACGGACGAGAAGATGCAGAGCATGCCTGACCTGAGGTTTAACGCCTCTGCTGCATCTCACTCGGACAGCGGCGGTCTTAAAACGCCTCCTGCGAAGATTGCAGCTGAAAGACGCGTAAGATCGGCTTCTTCTCGAGTCTCAAAGCAAAGCAAGTCTGAGGCTCTGTGCCATAAAAGTGTTGCAACCTCTGAAAACACCCAAGGATCAACAAGAAACCAACAAAATCACAGTTCATCTGTGAGAAATGATGCGTCTCCTTGTTCAAAGAAACCTGCCGTGTATAAAGACCGTGCATCATCTCCCATTCTGACTGTGGGAGCAAGATTACGTTTGAAGCAGAGAGGAAAACAAACAACAATGTGTCCTTCGAAACATGTGGGCGGAAAAACAAGCCATGCTTTTGAGGAAGACAGCCTCAATGTGCCTTCTAGCAAACAGTCGGCCTGCACATCTGTCTCAGACAATGTGCAAATGTCCACACCTGATTGTGATGTTTCATCGAGTCAGTCAGAGTCCGTGTGGCTTGAGAAGGGAAGTGAAATGAGCTGCTCAGGTCCTGAAGGATCAGATAAATGCTCTGCAAGCCTCAGTTCATCACTGGACACGTATGTAAAGACCTGTAAAGACAAGGATGACACACATGCAAGCTCAAAAAGACAGATGATGTCTCCTCAGCCAAGGACATCTAAAAAAGGTCAAACTTTGCATCTCATCAGTCCCATATTAACACAAACTGAGCACAAACAGCAGGAGACATCAAGACATGGAAAACCATCAGGCTACACAAGATCTGCCGTTGACTCTGTGGATTTCTGCATCGATTCCTGCAACTCATCACCAGTCACCAACGGGACTGTTCAACTCCAAGAGGATGACACAGTGTCACTGGCTCCCAGCGAGTGCAACACAGATATCCTCGTGAGCATTAAACCTGTCAGCAGCGTGTCCGCTCGTCAAGACCACCACATGGACCCAGAAAACCTGCCCATGCACAACAAGTTCAACAACTGGTCGGGCATCAACCAGCAACAATCCAAGCACCCTAACAAGTTGAACACATCCCTCAGCAACGCCCACGACAGGAGCAGGAACGGTCCCGAATGGAGTGAGATGGAAAGTTTCGGTTCAAACGTGGAGTCTGTGGAACAGAGCGACAGACGGGCAAGAGAGATAGAGAGGCTGCGACAGGAGAGAGAGCAGGTGATGGCAACGGTCAACCTGAGCATGAACACCACACCTCTAACCGTGGAGCTGACGGAGGCCAAGCTGCATTATGGGCTGGGAGAAACGGACACGCTGTTGAAGATGCTCTCCCCGAGGTGCAAAGATGAGCTGGAACCACGAACCTCTGCTCCGACTAAACAGCAGCTGTACGATCGGTAAATATGCACACGATCCAAATACCAACTTTGATGTAAGTGAAATTAGGGCTGTGGATTGATGATTCTGATTTTATCCAATAACTTAGAATAAAAAAATAAAAAATACTTATTTATACAACATAACACATGTTGAAAAATGCCCTGTTTCACAAAGTTAAGATTTAAATCTTTACAATCCTTCCCTTCAGACATCGGAGGAGTATTGAGGGTTTGAGGCAGGAGAGGGAGGAGCGGCTCCAGACTTACCGGAGAGCTCGTAGTCTGAGTCCCAGCAAACATCCTCGCTCCTCTCCTCAAGAGGCAGCTTCATCCTCCAAAGTTCCTGCTGCCATGCCCCGTAAAGAGTACCTGCAACAGCTCCGCCAAGAGGACACAGAGACCACCAGGTAAGACACTGGCTCTTCCAAAAAATAACAAAGCAGAATAGTCACCTGAGTCTTAGGTTTAATTCAATATAATGTTCACTGAATTTTCTGCTGTATTCATAATATGACAGAATACCAAATCCTCCAAGAGGAGAGGGCCAGTGTCCGTCTGACATTGAGCAGCTGTTGCGTGACTACGGCCGAGCCCGAGAAGAAGCCAGGACAGAGATTGCGAAGGCACGAGAACGACTGCGAGAGAGGACTGAGCAGGAGAAGAGGAGGCTGCAGCAGCAGGCCTTGTCTCAAGAAGCAAAGGTCAGTTTATCTCTCATAATGTATAATTATATATATATATTATAAGTAGTTATAGTTTAGACCAGTGTCAGAAAGTTTTTGCTATTTAATTTCTAATTATAAAGAAAGTTAACTCATGACATTGCAAATAATTTCACTGGTATCTCCATCTGTGTCTCGGGCAGGATGACCTGAGGCATCGGACGAAAATCAGTAACAGCACCTTGTGCACCGGATCGAGTCTGAGTCTTTCCTCTGGACCCACATCAGGATACAACAGTGGCAACACTGTTCAGCTACAGCACAGCAACAGACCAGTTCTGAGTGGACAGGTCAGTACACTGATGCGACATCAGATGATACACATGAAAAACAGGAGACGTAAGAACGTGCAGCTGAAGAATAGAAAAATAAAACTCTTCTCTTTTTAAATTGAGAAGAACAGGACAACTGTGTCAACGTTACTATTTCTGTTCAGACAACAGGGTTTCAGGATGAAGGGCTGAAGGTCAGGACGCGTCCTCCTACATGTGGTCCCCCGAGTGTGAAGACACAGAGAGTCTGGCTGTCTGCCCAGGGTAAGAACTGAACATTCATTCACTAAAGCCAAATAAACGTGGGCAGAATAAGCTTCTAAAGAATCCTCAAATTATCAAATACAGAGAATGAATGGAACAGTTATAGAATTAGAGATGTAATCCAGAAGCTTATATTATTCCAGATAAATGGATGCTAACATCCATGTGTCTCATTAGATGTCCGCCATGAGCCTTCTATCACTTCCTTCGATCCTCTGATGACCTCATCTCCATCACCCACCACTTGTGCGCGTCAACGCACCGCCTCCTTTGGCTCCTCCTCTTCTATCTCCACGACCTATCAGGACATCACGTCCATTCTCCTTCGGCAAGCTCTGGCTGAGGTAAAACCGACTAGAGCTGAAAGATCCAACTTTCATCCAAGTCATTTAACATGGCCTTCGTCCATTGTTCATCATAATGACTCAAATAATCATCTAAAACATTTTATCTGGTTTATTATTAATGTTGTGTTTCTCCACAGGTGCGATTAGCTTCAGCCAGAGATTTGTCCAACCTGGTGATGGGCAAGGCCACAGCAGACTGGAGGTGAATTTAGTCCTCTTGTCTAAAACGTATAGATCCATCAGTCCTTTATATTGACAGACAAAGGGACGTCTTTACTTCCATTCCAAAGTGTCAATGTTAACTTTGTGTTTGTTAAGGTACCAAGGAGAAGAACGAGGAATCCAGGCCTACTATAAACCCTCCTCCAGTCCGTCTGTCCATGGGTTCCTGGGGGCTGTGGAGCTGGACAGACCTGTGGACAGAGTGTGGAAGGTAATCTGCCAACTGTCCAAGAGCCACATGTACAATCAGTCAGTTCGTTCTGTCTGGACGCGACCACTAGATGACAGCACTCAGCTGGGTGAGTTAACATCTCTGCTTCATCTATACCAGTGCAGTGATACTTAAGTTTAATTTAGATTTTTTATGTTAAAAACACTCGAACCTCTGGATATGAAGTTCATTTTTATTTATGAAATAATCACAATTACAATATTTGATCACATTTTCTCGATTAAACATATTTTCGATATGTTTTTTTTTTAACCACATTAATTGAAGATATTAAATTTAATCTAATCATCAGTGGAATTATTAGTTTATGAGATTTACTATTTTACTATTTTAGGAGAAAGGTGAGCTGCAGAAATATGTTGTTTTTGCAAGAAAACACACCCGTTGAAATATTTATATTTTTGTCTTTGCTGCAGAAGTGTTTACATTTTATGGAGCCTGCAAATGTATTCACTTCACATTATGCATCCACAGCCCGTAGATATCTTCAGTACAATACAGAGACTCATTCATCACTGACAAGTATATTCTATTACCATGACTCTATATTCACACCTGCGGTATGACGCATTTCATATCTTTGCTGGGACTCGTGCTTGGTCTCCACGGCTCAGTTCAAATCTTTTTAGACTTTCACCAAAGTTTGTTTTGTCTATTTGTTTGTTTCCATACAGATTTATTATAGTAGTTCATCATATCATGTTATGAAGACGTCATTTTCTGTATATTTTGTAGTGAGAGGGTTTAATATTCTGTTCCATCACCTCACCCCTTTGTATTTTATTTTTTACATTTTTAATGTTTTTAATAACCCTTTTTTTGACGAGTCTTGCATTTTTTTATTCTCTGTCTCTGTAGTTTACATACTAACAGATCCGTCCATGTGCCACCTGAGCCAGCCGCGGGACTTCTGCTGCATCAGCACGGAGTCCAAACAGGTAAGCACAGCTGCAGAGTCGTCCGACCGTTACTGCTGATTACTGCAAGTCGCTCTTTTGTCAGGTCCAGTGAGCATAACACAAAACCAGGCCTTAGTTTGCCTGAGAAAATACATTTTCTCATTTACATGCATTGAAACAGGAATCTAACAGTGCTGCCTTTTGAAATTAGGACCAAATAGTGCAGCGTCTGTTTGTGTCAAGCTGCTGCACAAAGAGCTGTTCACCTGTTTATTCAAAGTTTGGTGAAGCTCGACTCGTTACACAGAACCCCAAACTTCAGAATCGGTATTCGTAAACATGCTGTTGTCATGATCAACGTTTCGGAGTCGCAGCCACTGCTGCTACAGGGCACTGGTCAGCTGTGTATTCAAAGTGCATCAACAATGAACGTATTGCGTGTCCATATCGCACCGAAGTCGACCCTAAACAATACACATGCCAAGTGTGAAGCTGATAGAATGAACGAGGAATGGGAGCCGCTGACAAACAGAGATTTCTGGAATTATTAGATAGCAGATTTAACAACAAACACTGTGGCTTGAAGTTTTTCATCACAAAATGCAGAACATGATATTGAGATTTAGTGCTAATGCTCACGTAAACAACACCGAGCATAAATGACACCGACCCAGAGGCAGTGGTTGTGGAAGAAACCGTGTCAGCTGTTGGTTATCAGTTGGATGTGAGTGCACAGTTGCCTCTTGCCTGATCAAAAAGCTGAGCTGCCTGTTTTATTGATGACTTCTTTCTCTCTCTCCCTCTCTCTCTTTCTCTCTCTCTGCCTCAGGGTGGCCTGCGTGTGCTTGCAATGCAGTCGGTGTTCGAGGAGTCTCTGCCTCGACCCAGCGTGGATGCTGTTCGGGGGGAGATGATGCCCAGTTGCTGGGTCCTTCAGCCAATTAGACGCAGTGGAAAGGAATTCACCAGAGTCATCTCCCTGCTGCAGGTGAGACGCTGGTGCTGTCAGCTAATCAGCTGGCTGAAGTTCATGTATGTGTTGTGCTTAATACAACACCAGAGCATTTGAAGTGCCTGCAAAAGCACGAACTGTTTGATCATGGACAATAAAAGGAATCCTCTAAAGGATAAAGGTGGATGATGTGAAGAGCAACATCAGTGGACTGAACCTCTGTCCGACCCACACGAGAGATATGAAAGTGTTTTAAATCCACCTGTCAGTACCTGGTCATTTCATTCAGAATCTTATGATAGATTCTTGCGTTGTCATTAGTTCAGACATTCATTTATATTAATTGTAAAACTTGAGTGCCCAGCTCGATCATTGCAGGCTGCCGGCCAACACCAACTCTGCTTTAACTTTACGGTTCGTTGGCAGGCAGCTTGATCTTAGGGAAATTGGCTGGAAGGTGATTTAATGTAGATTTAATGTTTTCTTTTATTTTTATTACTGAGTTGACTTTTTTTGTTGAAGCAGCTAAACGTCACACAGATCAGCAACTGCTCTGAGAAGAATTTAGTTTGCCCCATGTCCCATCCACTAACAAGGAGGAGGTGGGGGTCTATACTGTATACATCCACTAGGGGGCGATCAAGACGCTTTGGTCTCACTTTTGAGCGACTGTACTGCATGTGAATAATCTTTGTCTTTGTCGTATTATTTCATTACTTAATCTTCATCACCCCCTTCAGGTCGACCTGGGAACTCCGTCCTTCCCTCCCCGACTTTTGAACACCGTTGCCAGGCGACAGGCGGCCGTCATCGCCGATCTCGACGTTTTCCTCTCCTCGTAAATCCGGCGGACGCATGGAGGCGCAGCAGCAGTGAGCACTTAGCCTGAGCTCTCTCCAGCACGGAGTTAGTCTGTGTTTTGGAATTTGCACCTGAAATGTATTTACTTGACTTTTAGTTTTTTCATGAGCACTGTTCTATGTTGACTCCCAGTTACAAGTTGAAGCAGCTTTTTTTTTTTATATGAAGTTAATTTTTTTATAAGATATTGAAACTGTATTTTTCTATTTGTACAAAAAAATCCTAATCCTATTCTACCAAAGAGTGAAGTGTTAAGGGAATGATTTGACATTGGCACATTCACTGTGTTGCATTTAGGTTTCGACGGATTCATCGAATCATTCATTTGATGAAATAGTTTGATAATTCTGTTATAACCAGATAAACGCCGGCTATTTAGATTATTTCAGTGTCTGTTAGCTGCAAGTGTAATTTTATTCCTATGTTGTAGACGTGGCGCCGCATCCAGGTATTCTCAAGTCAAGGTCAATACCACATTAGAGTTAGTGAATGGTTAGTTGGTGTCTGTCAATAAGATTCGTGTTTATCTACGATCGATAGATGCAGCCAGGTTTGTAGTTACATGTGACTTCAGAGGGCAGCATCACTTTGCACCAGATCAGTTTATGCAAATGCTTTATTTTAACTTGTCGGTATTGTGGGTAGAAGATATTTTTCCACATTGAGGCACATTTTTTATGTTTTAATTATCTTTTTATATGAAAAACAAAACCCAACACCTGAATTCTCCTGACATCGACTTATGAAGGAAATATTTGCAAATATTGTTCAGCCCTGATTTTGTTTGGAACTTCAAATGCCCTTTAGATATATTGAGTATGTGAGGGACTTTAAAAAAAGTTTTTAGGGAAGAAGAAATTGTGACAGAAAAAAGAGATTTCATGGTTGGTAAAGGTGCAGCGTTTTGTGTTTCATTATCTTTATGCACATTAGTGGAGCACAGCAGAAGTCCCACTAAGATGTAAAGGAAGGTTTAATTTCAGGTACATGATTTGTACCAATTATAAATTCATTTTGATGCAAGAAAGTAAAAATCTTTTTTGTACATTCCCTGATCTATGTGTGGGATAAAATATTGAAGGAATACGAAGGATTATTTATTTAGTCTTAGACTGTTATTATCTGAATGAGCACTGCAACCTTTAACCACTTAGCAGCTCCTTTTATATATAGATAGATATATATATAAATATAAAATCTGATGTTAAAACAGTTCTGTAGCAAAAACAGTGAGAGGACGAGTCGGGATTTAACAAGTCTGATCGACATTCAACCCAGTGACACAGATTCAAGTGTAGACGAACATGTGACCCTCCTGTTTCTTATCCGTTCTTTATGGTACCACAAATCTGCATAAGCTGAGTTTTAAGGGCTTTTTGTTTTCTCTCTCCTGTTCTCAGAAGCGTGTTGTATTTATTTTCATCCTCCTGCCTGCAGTTTGAAATACTATTGAATGTGTTTTTATAGTTGTCGTTTGTGAGCAGAGCTGCTCGCACAGAGCAGCTGATGCATTTATCAATGTGACGCACTTTTTTTTTGTTGTGCGGCGTTAAAAACTATGCAGAAGCCGATCGAAAGCAGGACTGCTCTCAGTCAAAGCTGCTGGATCCAGACATGAAGCCATATTATTTACACTAGCTGAAGGGTCGCGACTGTTTCGCCTCAAGTTTGTGACTGAAGACGTTCCCGCGGCAACCAAAGAAAAAACAAAAATACAGACGAAGAGCGAAGGAAGAATGACTTTTTTATTGTACTGATTTCTTCTGTTTGTATTTTAAAAAGTGCTCATTGGTTATTTATGTTTTGACATTGTGTGGTAAATGTATTTTATTATAAACACTCTGCTTTTTGTTGCTAATAAGTTGTTTTCTGCCCCGAGTGCTTGGACGGTTTTTTTTCAATGAATACAACATATTTTCAAGTGAATCGTTATTTCTCCCCATTTTGGAACTGATCATCTGTTTATGTGAAGACGTGTAATCAGATCAGAAGTGTTAAATGTTGAGTTTTACACTTTAATTGCTTTTAGATTTTTTTCTTCTTACTTGCAAAGAACCTGTGTTTTGTAGAATATTATTTTAATATTCGTCACAGTAAATTTTGGGGGGGTTTTGGTCATCAGTTACTTTTTCTAGTGGTCTTCACTTCCACCTGATTCAGACTTTCTTACAGTTTGAACTAAAGTCTTTCCATGAACTGAGTCAATGTAGAGCTTCAGACTTAAAAATGTGAAATTTAATTTGTTTAAAATTCAGATTTTACTTTAGAGACACTTGTTGACAACTGAATCCTTTAAATGCCCCTGCATCTCATCTCCTGCAGTTGTTGGCTCCATGTTTAATGCTGATGACTTCTAAACATGGCAAAGTATTAAAGCTGCGTGTTAGAGTTGTGTGTCTGACATCCTCTCCTCCTGCAGCCTGCATGTCAGTGACAGGCTGCAGTGGAGAGCTGACATTTCTGAAAGGCCCTGAATGGGAGGGTGGGTGTTATGTGTGCGATTAGAGGCTGGGTGGAGTGTGTGTCTGCATGTGTGTCTGCATGTGTGTGTGTGCTCCTCTGCCATTTAGAGTCACCAGCTCTAGCCAGGAATGTGCGTCCCCTTGCGCGCACACATGCACTGGATGCGCCCACGTTATTTTTAACCGCGCAGGGTGGGTCAGTCGGGAATGAGCGTGGAGCGCACGGCGGCTCCAGCCTTCAGCCCCTCGCCCCCGCGCTGTGGAGACCTCGGCCCCGCTCTCACCCGGACCCGGTGCGCTTCCATGGGATTATAATTGGTTTGTTGGCAGGGAGCGGCCTCAACACAAACACTGCGGGACACAGGACGACATCCAGAAGCGAGTAAGTGCAAAGTGAAACAGCTAATGCGCCGTTGTGGAATGAAAAGCATTGAGTTTTGGCCAAAGTATCTGCGGCTACTGGAAGATGCTCGAACCTCTTGTTCAGTTTGTTTGTGTAGTTGAGTTTCAAGTTTCCTCAGAGCCACCTGTTGGAGCAGGCGGCCATGTTCCTGACGTCGATGGAAACAAACACTTGGATTCGTTCCTGTTTCAATCACGTTTTACAAAAATGAGCAGTTGAGTTTAAACGAAGCGACAGTTTTGGTGAATTCCAGACTTATCGCTGTTATCTGTGCCGCAGAGAGGCCCGAGGCTGCAGCTGCGCACAATGACGCCACTGCGCGTTTGGTGCGTGCCAGAAGTGCGCATTCCAAAAGTCTGTGAGAAACTAACGGTGAAGAAAGTTTCCAAAAAAGTATTTAACCAAACTATTTACAATCAAACATAAAAGTAATGAAAATCAAAAAGTGCCTCATGTGATAATTAGACTATTATAATATATTATATAGTTTATTCCTGCAGATCCCTTCATGCGTTTCTTCTAATGCTTCTACTTTATTATTTTTATTGGGGGTGAATGTGAATCTAAGTCTCACCATTTTCTTCAGGCTACTTTTAGCAAGTTTAATGTATAAAGATAACGCTTCATCACATCTTGTAATGAGAAATATTCAACTGTTAATGTGCTAGAAAGTAAAGCTGTCAGAATAAATGTGGAGTAAAAAGCAAAGAGAGTCTTCAAAGTGGCAAACATGAATATCCTGCTTTAAGTATTAAAGTCGGATAAATGGTCCATGTAAGAGTTCAGACTTTTATAAAGCTTCAAATTATTACTGATGCCTTCATGTGGTAGTTTTCATTGCTGCTTGTATATTTTCTGTTTTTGCTGCTGAAGGTGAAACTAATTTTGGGGAGTTTAACATAAAGTTTGT